AGTAAAACTATAAGATATTTACCTAAAAACAACCTGAGTGACTGGCTGCTCTTATGGCCATTACTCCAGGGTAGCAAGATACATAACTTTTTAAAGCAACTAAGTATAGTGTTTTCTAAGTAACAGTTTTCTAAGTGTTGTCCCATATATTCTGATTTAGGCAGATACCTACCTGAATAGCTCATTAACATGTGATGGCTCTATGGCCGAGCTATAGGCCACCTGTCACCAGTATTTACTGATTTACAGAATGTAGTAACATTATATTTCAAAACACAGTTAATGCCATTTCACTATATTAGTCACACTGAATCTACAACTTTGATATACAGCATGCATTTTGGAAATACTATACTCAGATGCCTTCGATATACATGAAAATTACAGCAGAATTCAGTAGGCTCTGGTGTAAATGCAAGCTTGTGCCTGTTTGCTAAGCCTTTACATAGTCTCATGTTCTTACTGAAGAAACAGATTCCTATTATTTTGTATGCTATATCCACACTATCTTCTGTGGAAGCACATTCCTGATGAAGAACACTGCCTCAGTGACAGAAACTGGCTCTGTGCCCAGCTAGTGCATAGAAGTGCATGGATAGTGAGCTTTAATAAGTGCCCCAAGACTGGATCAAGTCTCCAGTGCCAGATTGACTGGCTGCGTGACTTTGGATCAATGTTTCCCCACCTGTAAAGCTGAAATAATAAATATACGCAGTCAGCAGATTGTTGTGGGAATCCAATGAGTTAATGTAAACTCATACTCTATTCATACCTAGAAACTACACATATTATCTGTACTTTAGGTGAAGCATTCTCTTAACTAGTTGACATAAAAGCTGGTGGTAAGCAGTAGTCATAGTAACAACAGTCCTCAATACCACAGTTTCATGGCAGAGTAAAACCTATGAAGTTAGGGAGAACTAGAGCTGATCTTCCATTTATCACTTTCTAGCTTCAAGTCCTTTAGGTAAATTATTTAACTTCCTTGAACTTTAGTTTCTGTATTTATAAATGTGGGGATAATTAACCTACACAGGTAAGATGCTGCGAGGATTAAATGAGATTAAGAATGTAAAATGCCTGGAACATAGTAGGCGACAAACGTCAGCTCCCTTTTCCTTCACAGAAGCATCTTTACCAATGATTAGCTTTCAGAGAAAGAAATCTTAAGAAAATATATGGAGAGGGTAGAAAAAATATAGAAGAGCTTAGGGGTTCAGAAGGAAGAGAGGGTGCACATGGGGAAAGAGCTCAGACACCGACTAAACCTGGTCTGTCCTTGGTATCCAGGAGTATGAGGCAATGAGAACTTCTCCCTCCACAAAGTGACTACAGTTCAGTCATATACTCCATTTTCCTCTATGACTAACTACTCATATTACATCATATGTCCATATAGATACATATTTCTAATTTTCTAAAAAAACTATATTCTCAAATGAGTCAAGGACTAGATGTTCAAATAACATTTAAAGAGGAAAATGTTAATTTTACTCACACAGAAAAGCACAAGAAACTCTAGGATGTGTGTTTTCATGTGTCCTGAAATAGGTCCAATAATTGTTATACTTTAAACCACAATCACAGGATGAGTTTTAGCACAAGTTGAGGATACTCTCCAAATAGCATTGTAAAGTTTTAACATCTCAAAGAACCATTATAGAACTGATTCATTCTGAACTTCCCTGGACTCTGGTGGAATAAACTTAAAAGAAGTGACTGGGACAGAGGCCTGTTGGGAAGGCGACCTGCTCTCTTTATTGCCCAAGCTCGCTCACTGGTACACTTCATAGGCAAGATGACAGCAAGAGCCAGGAAAGCATTACGTGCTGGTGGCATCCCAACTCAACCTTGGCTTTACGTGTCTCGGACAAAGAAAGTGTCCTCTTAACTTATAAGGAGTGGTACTAATTCGATGTTTACTTCTATTTCCTATAAATAAAGAAAACAGGAACTTGAGCCTATACAAACATGAGAAGAAACACCAAGAGACAATCAGGTTCACAAAGGCAATTATAACAGCATATATGCAACAGTCTTCTATAACCTTGCCATAGCACTTACACACATTGTATTTGTAATCATCTGATGTATGGGTTCACAAAGACTCTGGAGTCAGGCAGATTTGGGATCAAATCCTGGGTTTTCGACCTGGCTGTGTGATTTGGGTAAGTTACTTAACTTCTCGGAGACTTGGTTTCCTCATTTGTAAAATGGGGATAATATCTATACTTCATAAAGTTACTGTGAGCAACATTTGTTATGTCACTACTTATAGTTAACAAGTAGGTAATATGTAATGCTTTAAGCATGTCATTAAAACATGCCTGGTAGGCGCTCAATAAATTGTAGCTATTGAGTAAGCTACTTAATAGAATAGGAGAAGAGTAATTCTTATTGTTTTATGTATCTGTCTTCCCCCACCAGACTAAACTTGAAAGTAGAGGTGGAAATGATATGTCTATAGTCCCAGCACTTAGCATGCTGTCTGTAGATAGTAGCTGTTCAAAAAAGGTTTGCTGAATGAATATGCTGTCATCGTATCTTTTAAAAGAGCTTAAGTATGTGTCAGAAGCTGATCTAGGCTCTCAGAAGATGATTTCTTCTTAATAACCCTATCTGGTATCCTTATTTTAGGATAAAGTGAGGGTAGAAAGTTAAGTACCTTGCTAGAGGTTACACTAAGTTGCAGAACTGGCAAGAAATCAAATCTGACTGCAGAGCCCTCACTGTTAACCACCACCTTTATGTCCTTCCCTGGCACAGTGATATATATGTAGCTATTTTTGAGCAAGTTAATAAATGGTCAGGTTTAAGAAGTGGCAATGGAAAAGCACTTAAAAATAAAAGCCTTTTTTATTTCTTCACAGGAATCTGGATAATTTGCTTCATTCAGTCTGCAGTTTTCTGTCTAAAAGCACACAATGAAATGAAGGGCGAGTAAGGGGAATGAAATACAAAAATGGCATAGCTATGCAGGATTTGTTTCTTATTGCCATTTATTCAAATGGAATCCATTAATGTCTCATCAAGCCAACCAAATTCACTCATTCCTTCATTAAACATTTGAGTGCATACATATGTCAACCACTGTGCAAACACAGAAGAAAGTCTCACTACAACAGAGAATAAAAGACCCCATATTCTCATCTAATCACTTGGGTATTCCTTTTTATGCCAGACCCAGATCCAGCCTAGCCTTGTGGGAAAGAAAACATCCTTCTAGCTTAATGTCTTCTGTGATGCTCTCATCTGCAAGTTAATACATAAACTAATGGCTGCTGTGTCTCTTAGACATTTTGCTTTCTGTTTGTCATAAAACGTATACCATGTAATACTGAATTCACTTTGTTATTATTTAACTCTTAATTTTGAAATAATTTTGTATTTACCGAAGAGTTCCAACAATAAAGGAGACTTCCCTAAGCCCTTTGCTCAGCTTTCCCTAAGGTTAACATTTTACATAACTACAGGAGTACAATTATCAAAACCAAGAAAGTAACACTGATTCAATACTGTTAACAAAACCAAAGACTTTATTAAGATTTCAACATTTTTTTTAACAAACATCTGTTTTCAGTTCTGGACTCTACAATGCATTTAGTTGTCATGCTTCCTTATGCTTCTCCAATTAATAACAGTTCCCCAGTCTTTCCTTCCCTTTTATGACCATGAGTAAATAGCACAGGTCAGGTATTTTGTAGAATGTCTCTCAGTTTGGACTCAGATAATATTTTCTCATGATTAGATTAAGATTGTGAATTTTTGGGAAGAACATAACAGAGGTGAAGTGCTCTTAGATGTGCACAGTATTATGTCTAATTATTGGTGGGGTTAACCTTGATCTCCTAATTAAGGCAATATCTGTTGTGTTGCCCCATTGTAAAATGACTATTTCTCCTTTGTAATTAATATTTTAGAAAAGATACATTAAGACTATACATATCCTATTTCTCCTGTTTCTCACACTAATTTAGCATTCATTGGTAGATCTTGGTTTAAGGAAGAGTTGTCCCTTCTTCCCCTTTTATTAATGAAATCATTTATTTATTACTTCTAATATTCTCATATATTTGTCATAAATATTTTATTGTTTGGGTTGTAATTCAATACTATTGTCATATTGTTACTTATTTTGATGCTCAGATAGTTCCAGCTTTGGTTATCAGGAGCTCCTGTATCCAATTTGGGTTGGCTCTAGTTTCCTTTTAATATACCCCATCTTTTTAAAATTTCATTTTAAGTATTTCCTGACACAAGATGTTCCAGGCTCATCTTATATTTACTCTGCCCCAACCCTGAAATCAACCACTTTTTCAAGGGGCTCTGGTTCATTTTACAGAGGACTGATAGTTAGAAACCAAGACTTAGGACCTAGATGTGCTCATTGTAACTGGGATGTCACTACTTCTAGGCCCTGTCAGCAAACAGAGCTGTGAAATATACGTGTAAATGCTAATCCATGCACACACTCCCATATTTATTTCCGTATCTATCTATGTGTATAGATAGTATTACATATAATATATATATATAATAATATGTATTAAAAAAACCCATGAGTTCATACTGATACTTCT